GGTGACTTCTTGAGTCATCATCCCATACTTCTCCCTATCTTATCCCAAAGATCCTCCCAAGAATCTATTGAGGCTTGTCAGTCAAAGGGCCCTTCCAAGCTGTCAAAATTAGAGCCCATAGGTCTGGAGGTCAAATTCCCATTCCCCAAAGACCCACACACACATTGACCCCAGTTGGGGAGCTGATACATAGATGTCTTTGAAATTCAAGGTCACTAACTGTGCTCAAATCTGGAGGGAAAGAGGATTAACCACCCTCAAACATCTCCCTGTAGAGAAGAGCGGCTTGCATTTCTTTTCCAATGCTTCCCTGGCCTTCTTACTATCTCCTGCAGGCAAAGCAGGTTGGCCTTATTTGTAGAGGTCTCATCCCACCGGGCTTCTTCCACCTCCCATCATCCCCCTTAGCACCCAGCTGTAGACTGCATGAGGAGCCTATCCTCCTGACGTCCCTGCCTCTAACATGAATCTAAAGGTTTTTTCTCTGCCCCCTGCTGGATACTAGCAGTCCAGGGCACTCTGAGAACCACCACAAAGGAGGAAAGGTCAGGAAGGACTGGTCTTTATCTCTAGCCTCTTCTACTGCTTGACTGCCTCCCAAGTGATTGTAAAATAATCGAGTCTGAACCAACTGCTGCTTGACAGTGCATGCCACCCAGGATTCTGCACCATGGCCAGCGTGAGGCGGGGAATTAATAACAGTGAGTGATTATCATGGAAACTGTCTAGAGGAAAAACGACCAGGTTTTTACCATTCAACCTTGGAAAGATAAAATCAGACCTAGCAGAGAAAAGACAAATGGTCCAAGAGCAAATGCAGGACTTGAAATCCAAAGAGCATCCCAGGGCCTGATTATATACCTGCCTCATCTCCCTGTCCCAGAAGTAAGCAATTGGAAGGATAGGAGGCATCTCCATCCAGCCCACCAACCAATTCAGAATTTTGTGTTCATCCTATGATATCCCCAGCACTTCCTGTTCCTCATTCCCCTCCACTGTCAATTTTGATTACCTTTGAGTCTCTACTGACACCTTCTGTGTGACCTCCTTGTGTCTCCTGCCACAGCCTCCTTTCTGCTTCTTTTTCATCTAACACCCCACCTGCCCCCACTCCAGCCCTGCTTCTAGGAGACCCTGGAAAAACAAACCTCATCACACTGATCTCTTTAAAAACCATCAATGAACAAGAATAGCAAAATATTTGTCATTGTTCAGGTTGAATGATGGGTAAATAGGGGTTTATTTAATTGTTCTCATTATATTTGTGTACGTTTGAAATTGTTCATAATGAAACATCTTCAATAGCCCTCCAAGGAACACGGGACAAAGTTCAAAGCCCCCAGATTGACATTCAAGAATCTGTCCCGTGCATACCATACAAGCAGCCTGTTTTCCCAACCTCAGTACACAGCTGTCTCCTGCAGCCCTGTGTCCACGCACCTTCTTCTTACAAAAATCCCTCCCCTTATCTCCTGCCTAAAAAAAAAAAAATGCTTTCTTATCCCTCAGAAACACAAAGCCAGTCTCGGCAAAAGCGATGTGCTAAGCAACTCAGTGAGACCCTGTCTCTAAATAAAATACAAAATAGGGCTGGGGATGTGGCTCAGTGATCGAGTGCCCCTGAGTTCAATCCCTGGTACCAAAAAAAGAAGAAGAAGAAAAAGAAAAAGAAACACAATGTAAATGACCCCTGGTTTGGGATACCTTCCCAAACCCTCCCTCCCCTATAGTTGTTGCAGGAGGGAAGGTAGTTTACGACCAGGTGCCTCCTCCAGCCTGATATACTGCCAAACAATATGTGTTTGAAGGAGACCAGAATGTCTTAGTTAGTAAAATAAATGCAATATTTACTTGAACTTGGGCAAATAGGGTAATCTCTCTTGGCTTTTGCTTCTGTTTTTATAAAATGAAGATAATATCTGTACTTCTCTGACATGGCTGGGGAAATGATTCCCAGATTACCAGTATGGTCCATGTAAACATCTAAACACAGAAGGTGGAGGGGGATAAAGAAAGAGAAGAGAGAGAGAGAGAGAGAGAGAGAGAGGGAAGAGAGAAGAGAGAAGAGAGGAGAGGGAAGAGAGGAGAGAGGAGAGACAAGAAAGGGATGCTGACTGACTTGCAGACAGACGTCAATCAAATAATACAGTGGATAATCATGCAGCTTGCCTTAGATGAAATGTTCCCATAACCTATAGGAAAGACATTGTTGTTTAGCTCTTTCTGGGAGCCAGAGAAATTCATGGAAAAATCGTCGACGTCAAAGTCACAATTCCTCTCTCCCCGGCCCTGGGACGGTTTATAGTTTGGGGGGGGGGGGGTGTTCAGCGATCTAGGCCAGAATCCCGGACCCTCTCTTTGGAAAGGCTGTGATGGTAACCAAGCCCAAAATCCGGGAGCTAGGAGGGCACAGGCTTGGCACGAAAATTCAGCCCTGCCTGGTGCTACCCCCAGCCTGTGAAGTCTTGGTGAGCTGGGGCGACTGGGGTGGGATGCTGGGTGAGAAAATCTGAGTAGGGTCCACTGCAGCGCACCACCCCCGCCCACCCCCCCGACCCGCCAGCCCAGCTCTTCTGGGCGCCGGTGGCCTCGTGCGTCACCGGCGCGGGCGGGGGCCTAGGGGAGGGGGGCGCCGCAAGGTGAGGGCACCGCGCTGCCTTAAGACGCCGCGCGCCCCCGCCACCGCTCAGAGCCTGCAGCTCGGCGCGCCGGCCGGACGTGCGGGCACAGGCGCTGTGCCCCGCTCCAGCCGCGGCAGCCGTTCCTGCCGCCCGGTGCGAGCTCGCAGCCTCCCGCGCCCCGAGAGGCTGCTGGGACGAGCGCGGCGAGCTCCCGGGGACCGGCACGCAGCTCCCGCAGCGCGACGCCTCCGACAGCAACAGGTAAACTGCCCGGCTCTGCTCCGGGCACTGCGGTCCCCCGCGCCCAGCCGGTCCCCGAGCTCCGGTGCCCCGGACGCCCCGTCTGCTACGTCTGGACGGAGGCAGAGCTACTGCGCACAGTGGCCCTTGGTGCGGCCCTTTCTTCCCTGCATCCACGGTTCTCTCCCTCGCGTTTCCCCTCGCACTTTCTCTGTTCTTTCTCCTTACCCCTCAATTCTCTTTTTGCCTCGTCCTTTTCCTCTTTCTCTGCCTCTCATCCTGTTTTTATATTCTCTCATTTTTGCTTTCTCTGTCTCCTTCTCTCAGTCTCCCACTTTTGTCTCTTGCTCTCTCCTGCTCCTTTTTTCATTCTCTCACTCTCACGTTCTTATTTGTTCTTTCTTGATTCTCTCTTGCCCTCTGTCTCACTTTCTCTGTATGTCTCATTCTTTCTGATTCTCATATATTCTCTCTCTCTCTCTCTCTCTCTCTCTCTCTCTCTCTCTCTCTC